TACCTACTTACCTACCTACCTGCCTGCCTACCTGCCTGCCTACCTACCTTCCTACCTACCTACCTGCTTACCTGCAAACCTGCCTACCTACCTATCTACCTGCCTGCCTACCTACCTGCCTGGCTGCCTGCCTGCCTACCTACCTACCTGCCTACCCACCTACCTAATTACCTCATATATATATATATAAATATAAATATAAATATAAATATAAATATAAATATAAATATAAATATAAATATATATATATATATATATATATATATATATATATATATATATATATATATATATATATATATATATATATATATATATATATATATATATATATATATTTATATATATATATATATATATATATATATATATATATATATATATGTAACTAGTGTAGTTACTAGAGACGATAAGAACGCAATACAGTCTGTCAACTAAAGACACGATCAAGGCCAAACTGGGCTGATGCAACTGATACAGGGGGTATGGACTGATAACGAACACAAAGCCGCTGCGTAGTTCATAGTCTGATGCAACGAATAGGAAGTATTGCGAATACGTGGGATATAATGGGAAGGCGACTGGTAGAGAACGGCAGAACCCAGTTGAAGACTGATATGTGAGGACGTGTTGTGGTTTGTGAGGATAGGAACGATGGACACGTGCATTCTGATATGTGAGGACTAGTGAGGACAGTGGGGGTCAGTTGGTTCATTGTATTCTTGTGGAACATTGATGCATTGTTATGTGGAGCATTTCTATTGATTCATGTAATAAAGAGATCAATGTAAACCTGCACTTCCGAGTATCTGTATTGTGGTCGATGTTGTGTGCTGGTCAAAGATAGCACGAGTAAATACATTCGGTAACATTTGGCACTACAAGTAAATAGACTCGGTAACAGTTGGCGTTGTCAATACACTCGGTAACATATATATATATATATATATATATATATATATATATATATATGTGAACGAATATTAGTGCGAAAGTTAATGACGCATTGAATCGTTACGCGGTTCGCAAGAATGTGACGTTTTAGTGTAGGTTCGTTGTTGTCGGGGAAAGAAGTTAAAAAGTTAACTTGTTCTTGTTGTTTTAGAGTGATGTCGTAATGTAGTCCAGTCTTAGTATTGTTCGTTCAAGTCGTCCTTTGTAATGCAATAAATAGTAAAATTAATGTCATCCTGTCGTATACCTTGATGTCGTCGTGCTTTGTGATGAACTACTGAATGGCTAGACAGAATATAATGATAGTGTTGACCCTCTCATGTAGAGCCGTACATTACATAGTTAATCAGTTTAACAATGTAGATGCCATTGGAGTAGGTGTAAGTCAAAGCCTGATGTTATTATAAAACTTCATCTCTTTTTGTTTCTTTATAAAAAGGTTATTGAAGATATTTTAAGGTATTTTACTGAAATGTTTACCTGACGAATGCAAAATGATATCAACAACCATAGCTCTTCTGTTATATAGGCTACATGCAGTGTTTCTTCCAGACTTCCCCCCCCCCCCCCTCAAACTTTCGATTTGCACCCCCCCTCAAACTTTCGATTTGCACCCCCCCCCCCCTCAAACTTTCGATTTGCACCACCCCCTCAAACTTTCGATTTGCACCCCCCACCCCTCAAACTTTCGATTTGCACCCCCCTCACACTTATATATATATATATATATATATATATATATATATATATATATATATATATATATATATATATATATATATATATATATATATATATATATATATATATATATACCGAGGGGTCTATTGGGGGGGGGGGCTTACGATCCCCCCCTAACCCCCCCCCCCTGCCTACGCCACTGCAAATAAGTATTCGCATAGATTTAGAGTAGCGTCCCTTTTGTTACATGTTTTCATTACCCTTCAAACAAAATTCTATTTTAGTTATATTGAGATTAAAGAATTTAAATAAATAGTACACACAATTGTGAAGAATAGGAACGATTGAAAGGGAAGTGGCATTTAGCGCAGGAAATTTAGAGGATAGGTAGGGTAAAGGTGGGGTTAGGAAAGTTAAGGGGTCCATTCAGATTGTAGCGACCCTTCCCGACGCCCGGGGACAAACTTTTCAATTTGCACCCCCCTCCCTCGAGATTTCGATTTGCACCCCCCCTCAAACTTTCGATTTGCACCCCCCCCCCCCCCCACTCGAGATTTTGATTTGCCCCCCCCCCCCCCCTCAAACTTTCAATTTGCACCCCCCTCAACCTTTCAATTTATTTTTCCAACCCATTTTGGCGCCCCCTAAGCCCGGCGCCCGGGGACATATGTCCCCCCCCCCCCCCGCCCCCCCCCCCCCTCGCTACGCTACTGGGTCCATTCTCTAATAGGCAGTCTATGTCTCTTTCGTACTTTCGTGTTGGTTTATTGTCGAACCTGTCCTCACCTCACATCACAACAGTTGGTTGACGCTTACCGTGTAATGTTAAAATAAATAGCATGTAATTGAGTTAGTTCGATGTGTGTTTTCATACAAGCCCAACCCATTGATTAAGGTTTTCGCAAAATGTAACATATATGTAACATATGTCAATGATGTCAATGAATTTTCATTAAAAACAAGTTAATTAAAAAAGTCTAGTGACATTTATGCGCAATTTCCTTATGTTATCCAAAAATAGCTCTGACGTATAATGCTAGGGTGCGTTCAAGCTAGAAGAACGATCGGTTTGTAGGTGTTTATGTAATTTTAAAATTTGTGACGGAACGAGAGGATATTTTTGAAAACTTTCTTCGGCAATATTGTTCCAAATTATGGCAGGAATCGATTGGTACATGTTTCAAGTCGCTAAGTGGTCTGGTTGCCGAGATATGGGCCAAAAACTGCATTTTTTCGAGGTTTTTTGGCTTTTCCTGGAAATACATGAAAGAAACCCGGAATTTTTATGGCCTATGCTCATTCTCGTAACTTGCTTAACATAATTGCTTTTGGGACTAGTCATCGATATTACTTCGTTGAGGAGGAGATACGACTTAAAGCCCGGACACACATTCATCCATACATTCATTCATTCATTCATTCATCTATCCATTCCCAGAAATGACGAGTTAATAAACGCAATTCTCCAGAATGGAAATTGCGCTAAAAAAAGATGTCTAGTACAGTTTACGAAACACGAACTTCGCCGATACTTTTTTGGTGGGTAGGTGGGTAAGTGGGTAGGCGGGTAGGTGTGTAGGTGGGTAAGTGGGTGGGTAGGTGGGTAGGTGGGTAAGTGGGTAGGTAGGTAGGTAGGTATGTAGGTGGGTAAATGGGTAGATAGGTAAGTGTGTAGGTAGGTAGGTGCGTCATGATGTGAAAACAATAATAAATACATAATTGTTATTTTGGTGCGAATGAATGTTGTTACGAGAGATATGACGAATGCATGTTTGATGACACGGATGAAAAAGAGTAAAGTTTTGCCATAGGATCGGGTTGTTACGGTATGCAAGCAAGGTAGTTCGGACTAGGGAGAATGTGAAAGATACTTCGTGTAATGTCGATAGTTTTATGTTTATTTATACGAGAATAGTAGTTGAATAATTAATAATATTCCGCACTATTATGCTAATTTTAGACGTTATTTCGGGTTTTAGAAAACTGTTTTAATAAATTGGAATTGATTAAAATATTCTATATAGACAGGGTTCATTGGAAAAATATCGATGTTTTAAGAAAAATTCAACTGTAATTTTTAGGGGGGGGGGGGTGTTGGCTGAGGTGTGACGTCATTTTAGGGGTGGGGGTCTGGCTTTTTGTGACGATGTGTGACGGAGGGGAGGGGGGAGGTAAAAATCGTCCAAAAAAGCGTGACGTCATATATGGATGACCCCCTTATGCTTAATTGCTGCATGAAAAGAAATAACATTGTTCAAAACTTTGGGTTTAAAAAGTTCCCAAAAAAAGGCGCCACTTTGCTGAAAAGCCAGAGGGGGAGCCTGAATTTCTTTCAGGCACCTCTTTTGCTAATTGGTTGAGTTTGTTTTGTTGTGGATTGGTGTGGGGGCGGGTTATATGGTTAGGTAACGGGGTTGGGTGATGTGGTTTGGTACAGTGTGTGGTTCATAGTTTCATGCGGGTAATGATGAGATAATATTATTTCCCATTCTGTTATTCGCTTCCAGGTCCCCATTTTAATGTGTGCAGTTAAATTTATTCTACAAGATTGAATAAACCGGGAGTGATCTCCCCTAAACTTTCTCGAATATTCTTATACAAAACATCAGGGGATGGCAACTCGGGATATAGGCATGATTTTTTATCCATTTTAAATACTTTAACTTTTTAAAATAGAATAGAATCTCATAGAAAAAAGAATAGCACACCAAGTGAACGCCAAACAAAATGTGCATAATAGTGCGGAATATTATTAGTACTATATAAATTCACATGCGTTTTTTGAGAAATCAGAAATAGCAGAAATTACTACTTCCGGTCAAAGGAAATTTCTTAAATTTGTCAAAAGACAGAGAATTAGATCTTTTACTTACACATGAAATTTCATTCATCTATCAGAAACAGTACTCAAGTTATAGGCTTTTAAAAAATTGAAAGTAGAAAAAGTTCCACTTCCAGTTATCGGAAATCGCTCAAAAGTTGATACGGATCTACGATTTTAATAAAATACTTATATATACAATTTCATCAACCTAGTTGTAACGGTACTCAAGTTATCGTGTTTACAGACAGACACACATACACACACACAGACATACGGACAAGATTGCAAAACTATGTTTTTCCGACTCAGGAAACAGTAAAACGTAGAGATTTGCGAAAATCTCGATTTTTTTTTTTTTTTTTTTTTGTTGCACAATTACAAGACTTTCTCTATACTTCGAATAAACGAGAAAGTAAGTAAAAGATTTTTTTTTCTCTCTTTCCTTTCCTCCAAAAAAAAAAAAAAAAAACACTTAAATTTCAATCCGTGACGAATCACGGGTAGATCTATGTATCTAGTAGTTGTCTCTCTGCAAACTGAACTGATTTTGATCTGGCAATCCTCCATCAACTTCCGACGCGGAAGCGACAGTGCACTAGTGTTTTGTTGAGATATAGATTTTAGATATAGATTTCTAGTAATCACAAAGGACAATTCGTGAATTAAATATTAAACCCTAAAGAAAAATTGTTCTACTGATCGTAAGTTAAATGAAAGAATTTTGTTAAAATTCATATTCAGGCATATGGCATATAAAAATATAGTTTAATATAGACTCTATCTTTCTATCTACTAGATCTATCTACTAGAGTAGATACTAGTAGCGATACTCACTAATTTTAAATTTCGTTATTTTTCGATTAAAACATTACCAATGAAAACTAGAGATCAATCTCTAATCAATCAAATACTTAATTTGTTGATAATAAACGCATTTGGAGCTTAATTACTGATTTTTATTAATTGGCCACTCCCAGCAATGCAAGCCAAACAATCTGTGACAACCTATGCCTATCTGAAGAGGAGAACTCTGCAGGGTTGACCTTGCAGCTGATTTGATTTTAGCAGAATATGAACAGTACATTTGATTTTATTAGCCTACCATATTTCTATTCGTATGGACACTGTCTTCGTCAGAATAAAAATCACATGATGGAATTAGATCTAGTTCTAGAATTTTTAAATAGGGGCCTATTTGATTTAATTTTTTTTAAATGGAAGGGTGTTTAAAAAGGAAAACTAAACCCAAATTAATGAAAAACATGTTTAAGAATATAGGCCTATAGTTAGGGACTACGATATCCGTCAAATCTCGGGCCGGAAACTGCGCTACCGCCGCCGTATCAAACTTGATTCTGGTTTCCGTCAGGCAAAACATAGCTCACTGTATAAAGCCAGATTCTCATTTAAAAATCATTCACTTCACTCAAATCGTCATGAATATCGACCTAGGAATAATCCACCTTTCTATTGATTAAAACTTTTTCTCTTCACCATCGACGTATCTTCGAGTAATTCACACTTCTCGGACAGGTATGTATAAATATTTAATTTATTTAATATCTAAACAAGATAGTCATTTTTTTTTTAAAGATACACCTAGATTTTTGTTTTAAGTTTCTTATAAAGTCTTTATTTTGTAAATTTAACCCTCGCATGAATTAGATAATGCCTCGCGAAGTGAACATGGTCTTAAAATTTAAGCCGACGATCGGCAAATGGCGATAGTTACCTATTATCGATAATGGCCGATTTGGTTAAGAACAATGATACCTATTATGTATCTATTGAAATCTCAACTAATTCAAGGCATCTGCAACTGATATTTATATTTTAACAGTGTTCAATCATTATATTTTATTAAAAAGACAATATTTTATTTTTTTTTTCAAAATATTTAGTGTTGGACCAAAGCAAAATTGAATTAGCATTTCGTTTTCTTGGAACAATATAGAAACTTGAGTGTACAAGTTAACATATTACTTTCTAGTATCATATAATAAAAAAAAGAATGCATTCAAAGCTTTTATTTCTTGTTATTTCAGTAATTCAAATGGAGTGGCCTTCCAAATCTCTTCAGGACTTGGAGCTTCTTGTTAGTTCACAGAAGGACAGAATTCTGATGGCTTTGCGCTCTACATTTTTGCCAGTAACAAGAAAAATGCACACAAGACAGCAGCATAGGTTTTGCAATTAGGAGAACAACTAAATTATAATGCTACAACTTGTTGTAAGTCATCTTCATGCCAGAATAACTTCAGGATAGGATGCTAGAGACAGGAAATTTTATCTACTTTTTTGTAGAATGGAGGGGGCGAGGATTAAACATAAGTGGAATGTTAAAGGGGGGAGATCTGTTTTAGAAGTATAATTTTTTTAAGTTAAAGAAAAAAGTCAGCAGTAAAGTGTAGATTCACTTGGAGTAGCCTATTGGATTGCAAATAAAAGAGGAGTAGGATGACAATGTTAGCGCCTCTATTGACAGTACATTACTTATTAGTTATTAACTGATGTTGTTCAAGGCGATTTGTTATTTTGTTAGTGTTGTGGTCATAAATTACTATGTAAATTACTATGTAATTTATATTAAAATATGTTTTTATTAATACCATTAATGGAGTAATTCTTTTTTAACTAATTTTGCTGTCTATTTATGTCTAGATTTATGTTTGGCGATATCCGAACCTTTACCGGTTGGAGAGAAATGAGTCTAAAATTACATTACAAAGCTCCAGGTTATGAGGTCCCTTAAAGGTCCCTTAAGTGACTCTTAACACATTCAGATTGTGGCATAATATTGATATTGATAAACTGTTAGATTTAGAATAATGATAAACTTGAAAAAAGTCACTTTACAAAATTAGGGGGTTTGCATCACCTCAAGGCACACATTTTGTCATCCCTTTCATATTTTTACAAATATGTTAAGTTTAATTGCCTCATAACATATTAATCTTGAAACTCTGAAAATTTGAATACAAATTTCCATGTAATAGAGATTTGGCATTGGTTTATATGAAGAACACACAAAATTTGCCCGCGAAATTTACCAGCAAATCCTATAGTAACTTTTAATTCAGTAAAAAAATCATAACTTTAAAACGGAATGTCCAATTTTGAAAAAGTAAACTGTTTTGTCTTAATCTGATGTAGCTCTTTAAGATGATATGCTTTTTAACCTAGGTAAATCATTTTGAAAATTTTCTCAAAGTCCCTACTATAGTATAGACTAATAGATCTAGATCTAATCTTTTTAAAGATATTCAATCCCGTGGCCGTGCATGTTTTATTAATAAGTGTTTTAGCAATGCTTAATTTATTAGGGCAATTCATAAAATATAGCAATGTCATTGTTAAATGAATCTAACCCTCCTCTCTCACTTGACTTGGGACAGGTGTGTTATTTACAAAATTTTGTCGTTGCTCAGTTTAAAATGTTAAGATTTGTAAGTATTTGATTTATTTAAAAAAAAAACAACTGCAATAGCATTAAAATTGATCAAGTATCGAGAAATGCATTCTAACCAGCGTCACGGGCAGTGCGCGTGACAGACATCTTGCTCACGTAGTTTTGTCAACAAGAAAAGTTAGCCTATCAAATACAATTAATTAGGCCTATAAAATAAAAAGAGGCCAATAGCATTAAAATTATCTCCTGTGAGCGAAGATATCTGCAAATTACAAAAATCGCCAGCCCGTCTGCGTTCTTTTGTCAACCAGCGAAGGAAAAACTCACAGCACAGTGTGAGCATGCGCTAAATCTAGTCCAAGTACTTTGTTATCCCAAGTTATAATTAGTATTGTAGGCCTAGATTAATATGTCCTAGTCCATGCGTACTTGGTTTACTAAGTACTAATTAGAAATGTAAACCTAGACTCAACGCTAAAATCATTTAATTTATCAGGCCTCTAAAATCTTAATAACATATAATAAAATATATAAATATATTTATATAATATAAACATTACTAAGCCTAATAAATGTATCAACGAAGACCAGTGAAAATAATATTATAATTAACCTAATTAAAATTTATGAAATCAATAAGAATTAAGACAAATTAATTAAGCTATAACAAATTTGAAAACAAATAATAAGGCCTAAGTAAGCACACAAAGACCAATGCTCACTACTAGATCTAGATCTAATTCCAGGGATCAAAAAAAAAATAATAACAGATCGTTGTGGTTTAAGGGTTTTTAGAGTCATAGTATAATCCAAAAGCCAGGTGAAATATCCATAATTAGGCTTAATTAGTCTAATTACGCTAGCAAAATAAGCTGAAAAAGAGTGTCAAGTGAAAAGAAAACACAATTATATAAGCAGCGAGAGGATGTACAGCTTCCGTAACAATAGCGATGACGTCACAATAAAAAATTACGTGCTTTCAGTGACCTTTTTTGGATGCCGATTTCTTAAAATGGATACAAAATAATTACAATATTTTTTCACTAAAATATCAATCTAATAATACCCTACCTTACAGTACCATTTAGACACCTTACAGTCCTTTATTTAAAGTTTTTAAACAATTCAAACTATACCCATGTTAACGTTTGACCTCCATGGTCGGAAGCAAATTTTATAAAAAAAATTCTGCCAAAAATAGCTTTGTCATCTTCAGATAGCTTAAAATACGAGTTAATTATTTTTTTAAAACTTAATGTTAAGGTGGTCTCTCGAACAAGGCAGAAAAAAATTGCCCAATCGTAGGCCAAGGTGACGTAGCCATGTTCTGGTTAGCAACCAAGGACGCTTTCAAGTTAGTGAGTCTCGCTACTATCTAGATCTAGATTCTATTTAATTTACTAATTTAACTATTTCTTTAGGCTAATAGGCACAGGCCCTAATTATTATAATTAATTAATTATTGAAATTAGACCCATAAGACTATAAGATAAGGTATTATCTTATCTAGAATAGATTACCTTACCTTATAGCCCAGCTATCTTTCCCTTACGCCTTACATGCGTCAGGTACTCATCTGTGCTTGGTGGATGCTGCACGCTGCACATACATACTAGTCTGAGATCTGAGCTTAAGACTTGCATGTTAGTAGTTGAGTGCTCTACCACACCCAGTGGCGTGCAGACCTATACAGATGCCCAGGGCAAACTCAAGAGGAAGATGCCCCCATAAATACTTTATATATATAAGCCTATGTAGCCTATATATATATATAGGCCTATATATATATATATATATATATATATATAAAGCTTGGTTACAATCCGTTACAATCCGTTAATACACATAGAAAAGCATTTTTTTAAAATTGTAGGCCTACTTATCTTAATTAAGATGAAAACGTTGACTACAGCCAGCTAAATCCAAAAGGAATGAATGGTTGGAACTTGGGGCGGGGGGAGGGGAGAGAATTGTGGGACGTGTCGTGTTGGGGGAGGGGGCTGTGATGCACTACAAAAGAGTCTCATCCGGTTTGTATTACCGCCCGGCACCGAGGTTACAAAAACGTTGTCCGTGTCTACAATTAGGGCGTCGCGTCAGATACGCCTTTATTTATGGCTGCTTCTCTCTTGGCCTGTTTAGGGATTCCTATAGTGTAACTAATACAGGTGAGAGTGTGCATTGATTTGAACTAGAGATGTTTCAGATTTTTAAAATCTCTAAACTACTCGGTCAAAAGGTCAATGCTTTAAGGAGATGTGATGCTAGGTACTCTAAAACATCCGTCCGTGTCTAACCATTCACTTCGCTATGTCAGACCCTCCCTACAACTTGGACGTGTATTCCCAAATTTAACACCCAGGCAACGCCTTCTGTCCAGTTCAGGTGGGGGGAAATCCACTAATGTTGACCATGGCCTGAATCTACCCCCACATTTCATTACATCAATTTGGGAGCAATTACTCTGCAGATGGCTCTACTATTAGTTGAAATAAAACTGGGTCTATATTATGTGCCCCCAATTAAGATAATGAGTAGGTGCTTTGGGGTGGGTGAAAGTTGGTGTGGTGAGGTAAAAGATCACGCAGACTGTGCATTTAAATTTATGCTTATGGGATGGGAAAAAAACAGTCTCCAGATTCGAGTACAATAGGAGGTTTGTGTCTAAATTGAGGGAGGGAACCAAGTGACAGCCAGCTACACCTTATTTATGTGTTTCTCGACGGGACTACCGGGCGGCCGTGAATGCCAGTAATTAAGACGTGTGAGACTTCAGGACAACTTTACAATGAAGTGAACTCAGCCCAGTGTATCAAAACAGTACGCACTTTAAAGTTTGTATTTAATCCCTACAATATTTAAAAAACAAAAATCCATACGGTCATGAATATTATAAAGAACATTATTACAATAAAAAAAAACAACAAGCTATGTGCTTAATCACTCTACGAATGCTGTTACGTCCATCAAAATGAATATGGGCATAATTATTGTATGGAAGTTGCTATAAAAGTTGCAATTCCAGAGAACTTGAAAATAATTTGTTGAGTTTAAGGCTACATTTCTATTTATTTTCATCAAGCCTAAGTTATAACCTGATGTTTCACTTTCATAAGGGAAATATTGATTGGCTGTACAGTAACTTAGTGATCGATAACTATTTGTTTACAAAACTTTGCAGATCAAGTTTTTAAATAACAATGCAAATTTAACACCCCATGACCTACTTTTCTATTTTTAGTTTACAATGTGTACAATAAAATTTATGGCGGCCTATCCAATAGCAGGATGCCATTGTTTATGTCGCCATTACACGTGAAAACCAAATTGTTTTTGCTTTTTTTTTAATTTTTATTTAGTTACCGAAAATATTAAAAACATCAAATACATCCAATCTTTAGTAAAGTCCGAAAAAAACCAGACAGGCAGGATTTTATAACCATATTAATTGTAATTACACTGTGCATGATTTTTAAATTAATTTTATGGACCTCTCAAATACCTTTGAGACTTTTCTCGCTGGTGTCCATTGAATAATTTTTGTAACTTTCAAAATATAAATCCTCCCCAAAATGTGAAAGAATTACTAAACTTTAATGAACCACCTTTTTTCACATTCCTAGCCGTGGCTGATTTTAGGT